ATATATAAATATTTATAATATTTTTAAAGTGTAGATAATTGTAAGTACGAGTATTTTACTATTCATGTTTATTTCATTATTAAATAAATATCTATTTAAAATTCATAGCAGATTTTATTTATAAATATCTTTGAGATATAATTTTTTTTATTTGACATACCTAAATATTATTTAGTCTAACATTTGTTAAATTTGTGGTTGGAATTAATGACATTAAACTCATTTATTTTCTATGCAAGATCTATTTACCATACTTTATACATGTGGTATTAATATGTATTAAAATTATAATAACTAGAATAAAATTTGAGCTTAAAAGAGTTTTAAGTATATTGTCTTAACTTTTATTCATAAGCGGCTTTAATGGTTAAAAGAAAATGTTGTATAATATTAATAACAATAGATAATAAATATTTTTATTTAATTTTAAAGTATATTTGTTCATTAGATATAGAAAATGCACTAGAAAATATTTAGTTATCGTCCAAGTTTGAAACATTCAGAATGTGTAATCTATTTTTCTTTGGTACAAAAGGTTTTTATTTATACCAAAGTTATCATTTATGAGTCCAAGACTGATCAATCATTCTAGGGTTTTTTTAAAAACTAATTACATAAATGGGGTTTTTTAAAATTATTTACACCTTTAGAACAGTTTACTACAATGTCACTATGAGCCATAGCGACACTAATACCATGTGTAATTTTTTTTTGAAAAGGCTTGAAATTGCCGTGCACAAGTCGCTACTAGCTGTAGCGACTTAGTAATGTCGCCATCGACAGTTTTAACTCCTTAGATGGCTCATTTTTTTAAAATTATTTTTTTTGTAAAAATTAAAAATATATTTTTAAATAAATTTATTTTAGAGTTAATCATTTAAAATATTTTAATAATTTACAAAAAATATTTTTTTTTAAAATAACCTAGAATAGTTCACTCAACCAAAATAAATTAGTAGTACTTTTTATAAATATAATTAACATTCAAAAAAATCCACTTTTATAAACAAAAGCTCTTAAAAAACTAGAAAAAAAAGTGTTGAAAAAAATGTTAAAATAATAAAAATGAAAAATATGAAAAAAAAAGTGGGTTGTTATGGACCATAACGACATTAGTAGTACTTTATAAAATAAATTTAAATAAAAATAATTAACATTAGAAAAATCCATTTTTTTAAAGAAAAGTTTTTTTAAAAAGAAAAAAAAAATTCTAGAAAAAAAGCCGATGAAAAATGAAAAAAAAAAGTGAGTCACAACAGAAAAACAAAATGAAAAAAAAAGAAAAAAATATCAGAAAATACAAAATGTGTCAAAAATGAATATGAAAAAAAAGTGAAGGAAAAAAAAGTAAAAAAAATGCAAAATAAAAAACTTAAATTACATAATTAAAAAAAAGTGAACAAAAACTGTTAAAATAAATCTAGAAAAGAAAAAAAAAGATAAAAGGGAAAAAAAAGAGAATAAGTGAAGGAAAAAAAATGTAAAAAAAAGGCAAAAGAAAAAAATAAATTACAAAATAAAAAAAAGTGAAAAAATTGTTAAAATAAATATGGAAATTAAAAAAAGGAGGTCGCTATGGACCATAGTAACTTTTGTGTCACTTATAATTTTTTTTAAAAAGAAATGTAAAATTAAAAAATAAAAATAATAAAAAATAAGGTTGTTATGGGCCATCACGGATTTTTTTTATTAGTATGGGTTGTACGATATCATTCATAAAAAAAACTAATAAAAAACGTAAAATTGAAGAGAAAAAAAAGGTCGTTGTGCCCCATAGTAAAAGAAAAACTGGACCTATTATATTTTTATATATTAAATAATTCAATTTACAAATGAATTTATTTTTTATTTCTTTTTAACAATTTATGTTAGTCTTAAAAATTATTAAATAAATTTAATTTTTTTACAAATACTATATCTTAAAAATTTAATTAAATTAATTTTTTTAGAAAAAAAAATTAATTGGTATTGCTACAGCCTGTAACAACTTCATTTAAGTATTTTTTATAAAAAAAATTTAGACATTATAATCTGTAATGACTTGGTACAAGTAAAATTATTTAACTATTTCTAAATTTAAAATTTTCAAATTACATTACGCTCATTTTTTAAAACATAAATTAATAATTTAAAATTTTTAATATGTTTACATATTATATAAAATAAATTAATATTATTTATTTAATAATTTATGAAAAATTTATACTTTGTTGTTAGTAAAAAAATTTACTTACTTTATTATATATTATAGGGGCCGAGACACTTCATGCCTGTAAGAGTTACACATAGAAAAATATTAGAAGTTGCGGATAGTTATTCAGAAAGAATATAAAAAGATTTTTTTTTACTTTCAAGGGGTATAATGGTCCACTAAAAAGTGGAGACCAAAGGGGTGATTACCAAGATATATGCCCTTTATAATAGGTGTATATATATATAAATATATATATATATATATATAAACAATTATATACTTTATAATTATATTTCTTATATTAAATAATTCAATTAAAAAATGAATTTATTTTTTCTTTTATTTCTAAATAATTTATATTAGCTTTAAAAATTATTAAATAAATTTAAATTTTTTTATAAATGTTATATACAAAAAAATTAAAGTATTTTTTTTTAAAAAATAATTAATTGATGTCGTTATAGCCTGTAGCGACTTCATCTAATTATTTTTTAAAAAAAATAATTGGCACTATAGCGTGTAGCGACTTCATAGATATAACATTAAGCCGTTGTGTGTTGTTACTGGCTGTAGCGACTTTAGTTGAAGCGTTACTGGCTGTAGCAACTTTTACAGCATGACTTTCATGGTTTCTAAAAAAAATATATTACACGGCTCTAGTGTTGCTATGGTCTATAGCGACACTATAGTAAACTACTCCAAAGGTGTAAATAGTTTCAAAATAACCTTATTTACGTAATTAGTTTCAAAAAGAACCCTACAATAGTCAGTCAACCTGAGTCCAATGATTCCATAGTTTTCACCATAAAATCTTGCAATGATTGGTGTTATATTATGAAATTAAACTTATGCATTAATGGTGTTGATCTTTGTATTAAATCTCTCAACTTGGTGAATATCTAACAATACTTGAATTCAGACTACACTAACTTGAGTATTAGATAATGAGTAGGCCTCTCAGAATATTTTCAAGATGGTAAACTTGTTTCTCAACCTTAAGCACAAGGTTTGTAAAGGTTGCAGATAACTCTCTCCATATATATATATATATATATATATATTTTTTTTTAAATAGTTGAGGCCTCTTAGAATAATCTCTAGATAGTTGACTTGCCCTCAACCTTAATCCTTCAATTTTTTTGTGCATGATGACCTTTTGCAAGTGGATCCAACTTACATCTTTCTAAGTCAATTATTTATTTGTAGTGGCTAGTTGCAAGTCAGTCATATTCACGTCTTTTTGAGACAAACTTTGTGTATGGTGGTCGGTTGCAAGTTGGTCTTACTTAAGTTTTCCTAAGACAATTTTTGTGCGTAGTGATCGGCTGTTAATCGGTCCTATTCACATCTTTCCAACAAGATTTTTGTGAGTGATGACCATTGCAAGTTGTTTCTACTCATGTATTTTCGAGACGATTTTTGTGTTTGGTGTCCAGTTGTTAGTCGGTCCTAGTCATGTCTTTTAGAAATGATTTTTGAGTGTGCTAGTCGGTTACTAGTTGATCTAACTCACGTCTTTCCAAGACGATTTTTGTGCATGGCAACTGGTTGCAAGCCAATCTTACTAATGCCTTTTCAAGATGATTTTTTTTTTGTGTGGTGGTAGGTTGCTATCCAATCCTACTCTTATCTTCCTGAGACGATTTTTGTGTGTGGTGGACAATTACAAGTTGATCCCATTCACCCCTTGTTGAGGCTATTTTTGTGTGTGGTGATTGATTGAATGCCATTTGTAGGAAGTGAGTTGGATTGACTTGCAACTGACCACCAAATACAAAAATGTGTCAGAAAGATGTGAGAAGAATTGCCTTGCAACTAACCATTACGAACAAAAATCATCTCGAAAAAATGTGACAAAGGCTAATGAGTCCACTTATGGGTCAAGGCTAGTTTTACTATCTTTGTGTAGGATCCAACCAACAATCGATCATCGTATACAAAAATCATCTCGAAAAGAATAAAAATAAAAGATACATAAAATCTTATATTTTTTTTAACATATAAGTATTGCAATTGTTTTTAAACTAATTTTATTTATTTATTTATTTTTAGAGATGATATGTATCTTTCAATAATGACAATCTTGTTCAAAACTATTATAAATAGTAAAACTTTCTTTTTAAACATTTAAGATAGTTGAATACTTAAATTTGTGCTTGATGAACTAACTAAATTCCTTTACCATACATAATGATTTCAAAATATCAACCCATCTAAATCTCAATCTCAATTAATGGGAGCTACAATTACACATCCATTTGCATTCATTGGATTTAGTTACACAGCTACAATAAATTCTCATGAATAAGAAAAAAAATCATATACTAAAATAACAAATGTACTAAAGGCTTACTATTGATCCAATAATAAGGGAGTCTTAATGTAAATTTTGAAATTTTTTTTAAATAAAAATGTATATTATTGGATTTTTTTTTACCAAACATATAAGACTTATTTGTCAATTTATATACTTTTCTTTTTAAATTCAACAATAAACATTTTTTTTATTGATAAACTTAATTTTAATAGATTTATTTTATTGATAGACTTAAACTTAGTTTTAATAGCCTCTTGGAGGAATCATGGTTGGTAGACAAAATCTAGCCATAGTCTTGGAAGGTGAAGAATGGGGTTGAAGTATGATGTGTTGCAAAAGTAGGGTTGAGACATGAGAGTAAGTGGTGAGGGGGTGCTTGGAAAGGGAGGTGTAAAGAGAGTCATAAAATGAGAATTTCACAAAAAAAAAAAACAAAAAGGAGGTGAAAAGATGAAAATGGGCCGTGAAAATCATGGGCTTGGGCAACTGGGAATTTTCCCTTGGGCCTTGGAGACAGCCCATTGAATGTGCAAATTCCCTGTTCAATTTCTCTCCAAAACGGCAGCGTCGCAAATACTCCGGTAGACGACAACGTCGCGCAGTAGCAGTACAAATCCAATACCGATAGTTGCGGCGGTGAAATGTCTCCGGCCGGTGAACTCAGGTGGCTCTGCCACCTCCTCGACGAGTCTCTCCGCCCCTACACAGTCTGTTTCACTCTTCTCACTTCGAACTCTTTCGTTTTTCAATTCTCAATTCATTCCCTAAACCAGACACGCTCTCCATGTGCATCAGGAACCACGCTCTTTCCTTTCCACCTCCAAAGAGAAGGAGAAAGATATTCTAATCGCTTCCTCTCAGGTTTCGCTTTTTTCCTCATCTTCAAAACACTGTCAAATGTTCTCTACTTGATATAATAATTATTATAAATATTATTATTTTTGCATTTTAGGTCGTGACAAAAATTCAGGTTCGGATTCGCGAGTTTGATTCTCGTGCAGAGGCGAAACGTGCTCCTAACGAAGAGCGATTGTGCGGTTCGAATCAGAATTCCTCCGTCGATCAATGTCTGCGTAAAATTGTCGCAGAGTTGGTGAGTGTTATTAGGACCAGCTTTTTATCGACGCGCTTTTGAGTTACTTTGTTGGAAATGTTATTCCGTGTTGCTTTTTGGTGGCAGGTGGTTTTGTTAACTGTTGAGAGTGAATTTGTTCAACACGTGGCTGTCAATGCTCTTGTCTTAACTTCACAGTTTGTTTACGCAACGGTATGAATGTGGAAGCTAGTTTCCTTGGTGGGTTTATATTAGGCGTTTGAAGCTACTATATGATTCCCTGTAATAATGATTTGCAGGGGAACAATTGGGATGGGTTCATTCGTTTGTTGTGTTGTTCGTTGGAGTTGGCGATTGCTAGGGTGATTTCGTGTTCATCTGAGCCTCCTTCTGGACCTGAAAATAGTAATTTTGATTGTTCTGATGTTGAGTTTCTGATGCAACATGGGCTTATCAATTTTGATTGGTCTACTGTGGCTGGCATTGTTAGAGCACTGCGTGTTATATGTAAATGTTTGAAGGAGGAGGACTATGATGATGGACTTTTTAAAGTGTACTATGACTCTGTCAATTCTTGTCTTTTGAAGATGCCTTGGGATTTGTGGGACAAGTACTCAAGTTGTGAGTTTGGTGGCACAAAAAACAACTCTTCTATCAATCAATTGCACCTAAAAATTTTTAGTGCCATGGTGCCTGTTATGAATTTTCTTGGGACTTTTCTTCAGTTACTATGCTCTTTGGTTGACCGGAATGATTTAGTGGAAACAGATTGTGATTCTGTTGAGAAACATCCACTTTTTGTCACAGTAGTGAATCTTGTACCTAGACTTGCAAAGTGGTGTCTCAACAAGCAAGAAGATAGTGCGGAGACACACATCGTTCATTACTTGAAACACAAGTTGCTGGTAAGGTTTATCCACCTGTGCAATGAACTTGAGAATTGAATTTTCATCTCTTGTTGGATTGGTGCCGAGATGCGAGCATTATTCATTGTTGCCACGTCAAATTTAATGGAACCGTAGATTATTGTTATAAAGAATGTCTTTTGTGGTATGTGGAGAACAAGTAAAATTTTAATGCTGACAGTAGGTTTTTAGTGTTACTGTATTAGGCTAAACTTGTACTAATTTTATTGTAACTCACCTAGATTAGTGAGATGTATTCATAACTTATAAGCTAGGTTAATGTTGTGTATAACAATTACTCAGAGTATCATTAGCGAAACAGATTCTATCTTTTCCACCTGAACACCTAAATTTCAGTAGTGTGCCTGGTATTCAGCTATCTGCTGTTGGAAATAGTATTAGTTGATGGCAAATTGGAAATGCAGTTAGAAAATAGTATATTCATGTATCACATGATAAAATGCATTTAGTACTCATCTGTGTTAGTATCTAGGAAGTTGTACTCAATATTATTAGCCTTGGAAATAGTCTCCACTGAGTCTATCAAGAGTGTATACATATGGATGATATGCTGAACCCAAGTACTACATTCTCTTGAATAATAAAATATTCTCACATTCTAAATTCTCTGTATAATATTATGTTCTATCTTACTCTAATTTTCCCCATCTAAATTCAATATATTTCATTGGGCATTTGCATAATGAATAATTATGAGTTTTCCCCACATTCCAGCTTATAGAAGATATGTTGCACCAATTAAAGCCTCAGTGTGCAATTAGAAGAAAGGTTGTAAAAGCTTAGTTGTCCTTGTTGTTCATATGTTATCCAAAATCAATCTCTAATTACTTGTTAGGGTTAGAAAAATGGGTTGACCAACCCTGCATCGATCTGTCAGAAAACAGGTCAGTTCAACCTGCTCCAATATGGAAAGTGGGTTGAAAATTGAGATAAACAACAACCTGCCCCATTTTTGGTTGGATTGACCCACCAAAAATTTAAAAATAAAAATATTGATTAAACTAATTAAATAAAAAGAGACAATTTTTAAAAATAGAAAAATGAAATTAGGTAAAATATTAAAGTTTTACATTTAAATATGAAAAAATTAATTGGAAATAATCAAATCAAAATTATAAAATAATAATAAAAGTTAAATATTTTTTGATTTTTAGTTATAAAATAATATTAAAAAAAAACAAATAACTTGAAGGGTATTAGAAACTGTATCAGATTTATGGAGAAAATTGGGAAGTATGTTGTTATTATAAGTTGCTATTTAAAGTTGCTTTATTTTTCACGAGTTTATAATCAATGGAAAAGTTGATTGAGAAAAAGAAGAGAAATAACTCTGCAATTTAAATCTTTGTTAAAAGACTTGTTTGTGGGTTGTTATGTTTAGAGTGGAAGGCACTCTTGAAACCAATTACAATGCTTTCTGCAGATTCTGATGATCAGACTTGGTTCACTCACAGGTCTAGACTGTCAAACCCATCTTTCTTGGCTTGAACTTCTTCATAACTACTTTCAAGAGCTTTTGCAGCAACCCTTAACTCATTTTGACTCTGATCAAATTGGTTGTCTGGAAGGCTCTCCATTTTTATTGAGTTTGTCTGATGGAGAAGCATGTAAGATGCATTCTGGCCACCTACAAAGGCAAGCTGTTTACCTCTTTCTGGCTTGTTCTTTCAGTTTGATCCATCAGAAAGAAGAAAAGGCAAACCATTGTAATTGCTCAACTTCGTGCTCCCATTTAACCCCTATTCCAGATTCAGAGGATGATCACTTCTGCAGAAAGAAGGGATCACTAGAACTTTGCAAGTGGATCCAAGGACATCTTCCAACTGCAGTTTCTGTCAACCATGAAAAGTACTTGCAGATATGTATGAACTTCTTGTCATCTTTCCTCCAGCTATATCTTCGTGAGGTTTGTCTATTCATGCTACTTCTATGTGTTGGTTTGTGAGAATGCAGCTTGTTTGGCATAGCCATTGTCTTCAAAACATTTCCCAGTTCTGTAAATTTTGGGTTTTTATAACTCTTGGATCCATATGGGATGTTTTAAATGATAAGTTATCTACTATTGGGCTTTGATTAAGTTACTATGACAAGTTTGGGTACCTGATCATGTATTGGAAACTGTGAAGCTCAGAAACTTTAAAAAATAAGCCGTGTTCATACCAGATCACTTCAAATCCTAATGGGAAATTTTGAGTGTGTCTGTGTCCATGTTTCATAGGTTCAAAATATATTCGCAAAACTGAGGCATTGATGAGAGTCTGAAATCATACTTGTTTTCCTTTGGCATAATAGTTTTGAATCTTTCAATGACAATCACTTGTAGTTTCATTGGTATTATTTAATATTTATCACTTGAATGGCAGGATGATCTATTGTTTAAAGTGCTGTTGCAATTGATTAGCATATCTTCTTTCCTCCAGCAACAGTAAGCAATTGTATTCATTTTATTTATTTATTATTATTAACTACCTAATGGAAGGATTCACGGTAATGAGATTTGGATGATGTAGGCCTGAAAGAAAGGATGCTGAGTATCTGGATGTAATGAAAGATTTTCCTTTTGAGCTGTCAGACATTTTTAATCCTGTGCACCTTTTCCATCTGTTTCTTTCAGAGGCTAGTATTACACACAAGCTTAGCACATGCAAATTATCCACTTTATTAATTAGTTGAATACTTGAATTTGTAAAACAACGAAAAGAAAAACTTATTATCTTGTCATTTATTTACTGATCGGCAGATACATTATGATCATCAAGTGCTTCTTGATTACCTCATTTCAAAAGATACTGGAATAAGCTGTGTTAAATATCTTCTAAGGTATCTCATTGTAACTTTACTGGATTAGAAAATTTTCCCTTTCTGTGGTTGCAAATAAACTTGCAAAGCTATAATCGTCAGATCTGGTTGTATTTGACTAGTTTTTTGCCAGACATTTTGAGCATGTATTATTCCGAGGTTATGGTTTGGTATCTTGCTTTCCATGAAGTAAAAGAAAACTCTGGTCTGGCTCGCATTTTATAAATTCTTGTTCCAGTCCCCAATTTGTTTTTCCTTTATTCAATAATGGAGGATTAGTTCAGGGTTCAGAATAACTGTTTGCATTATTAGTTTAATGTAAGGGTGAAACCAATTTAGAAGGAGAATTACTAAAAATTATAAATTTTGGTTGTTTTACTTATCCTGACTTATTGCTACTTGAAAGTTGACTTTTACCTTTTCTCTTTTGCTCGTTTGTGCGATAGATGCTTGCATTTGATATGCAAATCATGGAAGTTATTTGTGGAATTTCCATTATTTGGAGAATTTTCGAATCAATCATCTTGTAAGAGAAGAAAAGTTGTAGGGGATGATGGTTTACAGTTTCTAGCAGATGGAGTGCCTACGTCAGTTGACAACAGTGGAAGTATCATATTGCATATCGATAATTATAAGGAAGACAGGGGATGTGGCTTCAAGTACTACGGTAGTAAGCCATTCAAGAAAGCAGCAGAATGTTTACTATCTTTGTACAATTCTGTAAATAATCTTCATCAAAAGGAGTTGTTTCCATATAATCCTGAAGTGCTTCTGAAACGGTATGTTGCTTAACTAGGAATTTATTTGTTCACAACAGATGGGTCAAGATTTTGGAATTATTATTCTGTGTACCTGAAGAAAAAAAAGAAGTGATGAACTTATTTCTTGTAGTCTAAGAAGATTTCAAGAGTTCTGCTGTCAAGAAGAGGGATTCCATGGACTGAAGACCGAGTAATTACCAAACTGCATGTCTGACCCTGAAAACTTGGCTATCTTGTGTTTATTAATGACCATTGAATTACGTTTTTGGATGAGTAGGATGCTCATGGAAAAAAAAGTAGGCCTTATCTTTTTCTTGTGTGTTTTTAATGCTTTATAAAATTCTCTTCTTATTTGTCATGTCATGCTTAAATTTTAGTTTGCTGATTGAACAGACTACTTGCTGGAAACAGGTATTGGTGGCACGGATGGACAGAAAGTAGAGAAATTTTGTGCTGGTTCTGAGTTGCCTTGATATCATATTGGTGCCAGCGCACGATTTTTTTGCTGCTGGTGTCCATCTAGTAACAACCTTGGTTCACTCTTAAATCTATTGATTATTCTATGGGTTTGGGGTTACAGGCCATCTCCGGAGAGTCTGATGAACGGTATCATGGACGTGGATGCAGGGTAACAGAGGATATAGAAAGCTATTAAATCAGTTACGAAACAAATGGTTAAACAATTCTATGAATAAGAGTTTCCACTGTATAATTCTATCTATCAATTAAAAATGATTTCATGAGTTTTACTCTCATTGTTCAGCTATGCTACTTTTTCCATTTCCTTTTCCCCCTCCTCTGATTTCTAAGATAGTGTGCATATAAAATTTCAATTTTAAGTGTATTTTGTAGTTTTTATGAATGGTTCCTATCTTCAAGCTATGAAGAATGTTAGCAATATATTTTCTAATGTATTTTTTCTATTATACTTTATTAATTATTGGTTGAAATTTATTAAAAATTATAAAATTAAGAGAGAAAGTTATTAAATAAGAAATGAGATCTTCAAAATTTTGTATTGTTAAGAAATTTCAACCACTAATAAACTGTGTACCAGAGAATGTGTTTGAAGGTACGTTAGCATTTCATATCATCAATTTGTAAAGGTACTAATTCATTCCCCTCAACTTTTAGCCAGCAATACTACCTTAGCGACACCTTTTTGTACTATATCCTCCAAGTCCAAGTAATTAATTCAAGCAAATCCCGTATTGTAGGATATATATCTTTCTTGCGGATGCCTTTTCTTGGTACTTGGAGCTTGCATTATTCTTCCTCCAAACAGGCATGTAATGCAGTAGTAGACCTAAAGTGAAAAACACCGTTGCCATGGACCCTTGGTAAGCTTGTATCCCTTTATATATAGAAGAGGATTTCCCGCCTAGACATTTTACTAATAAAAAGATATATGGAGTGTTTAAAATTTTTAAAATTATTTGATATACTATTTCATTAATTTAAATTAATAGATAATTGTAAAATCATTTTACAAGTTGATTTAAATTAATGAAATGCAGTATTAAATAATTTAAATTTTTTTAAAAAATTTATAAACTTAATTTATGTATTAAGAACTTTAAATTTAGTGATTGAATTGTTAAAATTTGATGTAGAACATGAGTTATTGAGTGAAGTAAATCTAGGTAAACTTATTCTTATAGTAAGTGGATCCTTCCTCCTCCCTCTCTCTCTCTCTATATATATATAATATAACTCAAATAGTTAAAAATTATATAATTATAATACTTAAGAGACTAAAATCACATAATTGTGTTATTTTAGGGACTAAAATTACTTGATTAAATATTGAAGGACTAAAATTGAACAATTATAATACTTGAGAGACTAAAATTACTAAATTAAAATTTAAGGAACTAAAATCCCATAATTGTGATGCTTGAAAAACCAAAAATATTTAATAAAAAAAACCTAACTATATGTATTTTTGATACATTGAAATTACAATGACAGTTTTAGATTTCGAATCTAAAAATCCAATGCATACTATCTTAACTCCAACCATTAGATTGACCCTAATGGTTAAACTAATTAACTATATCTTGAATGTTAATAACATTAAATAACAATACAAAAATTCACAAACTTTAAAGCTATATCTAAAAACATTCTATTTTTATCCCAATTCACTCTCTCCCCCCCCTCTCTCTATCTCTCATTTCTTATTCATTAATTTTCCCAGTTATATTTATTATGCAATTCACTTAACACGATTTAATGAATTTTATATAATTGAATTATCTCATTAATTATTTTTATTTATTTAATTCAATTAAATTGCGTAATTATATGTTTATACATGTTTACTATATAGTTTTATTATATACTTTATTTAATATTTATTATTTATTAATTATTACAAATTAATTATGATGTAAAAAATAATTATTATTTCCATAAAATAAATTTATCGTGTATATGGGTTTAAAAGCTAGTTTATTTCATAAGTTTCACTTATTCATCAGCATGACTTGACAAGTATTAACACAACTTCGTATAACATATATTTGTTTTAAAAAATGAAGCTTATACAGATCCGTGTTTGTATCGCAAATGACAGAGTTGCAAGATTATCGCTTTATTTATTTGTCTCGTGATTTCAAACGAGATCTTATTATTCAAACACAAGTAAAAGTAAAGCTTGTGTTATGAATCGTGAAGCTATGCATATTTAGTAGCTATTTGTTGGAGAGAATTAGATAGTTCTTGTGGCTTGCTAAGCATAGCCATATGATCTGCGCCTTTGATCTCTACAACGTCATCGAACCCAAAGTTTTGGATCATCCAGAGTTGGAAATCCAATGGAATTCTTGGTCCTCAGTGCAAACGACAAAGACATGTGAAACTGATCCATATCCCTCTTTGGAGAAGTTATTTTGGTTCGACAAGTCTTCGATGAAGAGTGACGATCGCCTCACTAAAGTCTTGGCCAATTCAAGGTCCTGCAAATTAATTTGTTTTCATTCAAGACTTGAGACTTGAAATTTTCCAACACTTTGTAGCATAGCTAGTAACCACTATCGCACAAGTTTTGTTGCACGGGTTTGTAGAGAGAATAAATAGGTATTGATGAAATGTTTGTAATTAAAGAGCGTTCAAATATCATTGTTATATATACAAGTAAATAGAAAGATAAGACTTGATATTACCTCAACGGAGGAGAGCTGGTAGAGCTTGTTGGCCAAGAACTCGGAACCAAATAACATTGTTGTTTTGTTTCCACTTGGGACAAATTCAGTGTCCAACCAATTAGACGATGGGGTCCTCTCATTATACTGTTGAAGTAAAAAATATCTTATCGTGAAGATGAGTATAATCTATAATCTCACTCTTTTTTTTGACAATGAATAAGATGCGAATGCGTGTGTCTTGTCTATTCATTCATCACAGTTAAAGCTTTTGAGATGATTTTGTTTTTTAATGGAGAAAAGGACATCAGTGAAACTTGTGATAGTTAAAATTTAAAGAACTTTCATATTAATTTTCAGAAGTATTAGAAACAGACCTGTTCCAAGACATAAGATGGGCGGTGTTGAGTGTCTGTAGCAAAAGCTGTTAAGAAAACACCAACAGCTATCTTTTGTGGGAATTGGTCCATGGCAAGTGCTATGTTCAATCCCCAAGGCTGTGACCAACTAGAACTACCTTCTCATTTGTGGGAAGTGAGGCCAATAGCAGCAACAAAGGCCCAGTGTACTCTAAGAATGTATCAACATCTTCTATTTGCTTCATGTTGATGCCAGAAGCTGCTAGATCAAGCACCGTGACCTTGTGGCCAGCAGATTCCAAGAGTGGCTTCAGTTTGTACCAACTCCATGCTCCATGGCAAGCCCCATGCACTAGAACATAATGCTTCCTGCTATCTGTACAATTTCCTGAACTCATGCTTATCAAAAATAAACATGCAAACAAATAAATTTTTGAACTCATGGTGAGTATTCTTGTGGTGGTTGTAGTAGTTGTACAGGTAGGGGGGTTCGGCCACCACCCCATCGGCCGCCGAATGGCGGAACCAGGAAGCCGAATGCCAATCGGCCACCAGGATCGGCCTAGCATCTTTTGGAATTCTTAATCAAAGATTAGGGGTTAATTAGTCGATTAAGGTGTATTACCTAATACGGTAAGTATGTCACAGGGCCCATGGGGTCCAAGGCCTATAAATGTCAGTATAAATAGCTCAGGACAAAAGGTAATCATCTTTCTTCCCCGTTCAAGCTTGTCTCCTTCCTGGAAGCTCGGATCTTCGCACCGAGGTAAGGGAAGCTAGGTTTTTGTTGATCTTGGCTGTAAATGAGTTCTAGAAACTCATTGGTTGTTTGATATTTGATGATTTTTGTTGAGATTGAAGAAATTGGGGCTTTTGGGTTTTACGGGGTTTGATGGAAAATTTGGGGTTTTTTATGATTGATGGATGCATGTTGAAAAAGCTGGTATTTTTTAGTTGTTGTTTGAAAATGTGGTACTTTGGACCGTTTGCATGTGGAATTTCTGTTGATTTTTGCAGGTTTTGAGCAAATTTTCGAAGTTGGAGAGTTTCTGATTGAAAGCACGCCGGACACAGTTCTTGGCGCCGGGCGCGTGACCATCAGAGGGCTCCATTGGTCAAGCACGCTGGGTGCAGGGTTGTGTGTGCCGGGCGAGCTTGAAAATGGATGCCCTTGGATGGCTCACGCTGGGCGTGGTTGGACCACGCTGGGCGCGCTATCAGTCAGTGACCCACTCTTTTTGGTTTTTGATGTGGCGTCGGGCGTAGAGACTCCTTGGGAGTCTCTGCCAGAGGTGGCGCCAGGCGCAATTTATATTGCGCCGGGCGTGAGACCCTGGGAAGGTCTCTGCTTACCTTGCGCCGAGCGCGGGTTTGCACGCCGAGCGTATGAGACCTTGTGAGATCTCTGCCTCCTATCACGCCAGGCGTTATAGGAATTGCGGTGGGCACGATGACCCCCTGGTGTTCTCTAGTTGTGCCACGCCGGGCGCGATCATGAGTGCGCCGGGCACGGATAAGATGATGTCTTATGTGCTGAAATTTGCTGATAATTGTGGTTAAACAATGAGCTGAGCTGTGCCGAATGTCGTTTATGCTAATTTAAAGCTGTATTTGATGTATACTGTTGTGCTGGATGCTGATATTATTGTGTTGTGTTGAGATGTATGCTGTTATAGCCGCTATGTCGGTGCTGTTATTAGCCACTATTGTGGTACTATAGCCGTTATGTTGGTGCTGTTATTAGCCACTATTATGGTGCTGTTATAGCCGCTATG